AATTTTTAGGGTTTTTTGGAGCCCATTTTAAGTATTAAAACTTATATTTTTTGTGACGTGACTGAGAGAGAGAGGAACGTAATTAGAGAGAAATTCCTTAGGAGAGAGCTCCTGAGAAAATTTTAAGGTTTGTGAGAGGAAGGAGAAGGCGGGCTTAGTGAGGGAGGAGTGTGAGGGAGATCACACGGTTGCTCCAAGCTTGCTGCACTTTGCTCCTCTTATGGCCCATGAAGATCTTGTAGGAGGCTCTCTAAGGGGGAGACTCTTCAACATCCGTGTCCTCTAAGGTACTCTACCTTCTCTAGGAGGGAGAAAAATGAGATGGTACGCTGCCATCACCATGAGGGTGACAAAGCGCTTGGCACTCCATCACGCCATGTTGGTGAAAGTGAGGTTTGTAAGAGCTTCTCTACCTTGCTGAGGGGATAAAAGGAGAACTATTGTTTAGTAGTGAAATTCCCGGCGTGAAGGACTCCGGAGAGTTTATGTAAGTCAAGTGACCGAACCACTATAAAATCTCTGGTGTTATTTTTCCTTTACTGGTTTTTATTTTTGCTTGCACTTTATTTTTATTATAATTGCTTAGTAAAACTCATTGTGAATTTGTGGTTATTGTTGCAAATTATGTATTAAGCACTCACTTCGGCATTATTTAAATTTTAAAAACATAGAAAATATTAGAATTCTTATTTGGGATTTTTTATTGCAGCAATTTTTCCAATTCACCCCCCCCCCCCATTCCCCCCCCCCCCCCTCTCTTGGCGCATCTCATAATTTCATAATCTAGATGCATGTTTAATATGCCTTGAATTATGCATCTTAGGTCTCAGACTAGATGAGTTTTACTATGAATTATATAAGTGTGTGAGATATGCCCAATCATTTCACAAGAAAAATATTTAACTCCAAGAAAAGGATTTACCAATCTATGTGCATTATATTATCTTTTTCTAGGTTTTGAATTTATGCACTTCTAGTCAGGATTATAAAATTGTTCAAGTGTAGGGGGTGTCCTTCCAACATTAATGGCATTTAATTTTTCAACAAGATATGAGCTTGTATTTTTTAAGGTTAAATTATCAAATTTTAACTCATATTCCCTTTATTATGATTCTGCCATTAACACTTTAAAATTATTTTCAAGTTCAGTATTAGATGATTTCAAAAGTTTATACATTTTGTTCAAATCATAAAACTCATTCAATAATGTCATGTGGTTTCTATCAATCAATGTGTGATCATTCCTAAGGATTTTATACTCTTTTTGTAAATTTAAAAAGTCTAAGTTTAACTTAACATGCAGCTTTTTGAGTTTCCTATATGCAGTATAATTTTTTTCAAAAACTTCAAATAACTTATTGTAAGTTAGGTCACATACCTTCTCTTGATCTAACTAATCAAGCTTGTTAGCTATTAAACACAAGTTTATGACTTCCTCCTCTATCTCTATTTCTAATGAATCTGAAGCTGAGTCCGCCCAGAATACTCTCTATAATCTCTTCATGCCCTTCCTAACATTAGTTTTCTCCTAAATCTTCTCCTTGCTAAGATTAGCTTTGAGATTCAAGCAATCAGATTTGATATGTCCAGAATTCTTACATTCATAGCAAATTACATCATTAGAAACTTTAGTATTTTTGTGGAACTTTTTCTTATTCCATTGATAATGTCTCCTTTGCTTCCCCTTAAGGGTACTTCTGGATTGTCTTATCATTAAGGCAATATCATCTTCATCCTCAGGATGAGACTGATCACTTTTCGAGTCATCAGCTTTTAAATAAATATTTTTCTCCTTTTGCTTAACACATGCTTCAATATGTCTTTGTGTCACTCCTTGCTTGTAAGCAATTAGTAATTTAAGCAAATTGCCAATAAAATAAACATTTAAGTCTTTTGACTCCATTATAATAGTTATCTTTGTATCATAAGCAATAGGCAAACAATGAAGAATTTTATTGACTTTGTTAGAGTTCAATAGTTCCCTACTTAAAGCATACAATGAAGTGACTATTTGTATAAAACGAGTATACATGTCAATGATTGATTTATTTGGTTTCTTGCAAAAAAGTTCATAATCGTGTAGTAGAATTTTCAATCTTAACTGTTTTACTTCATTAGTTCCTTTATAAGTGATACAAAGTCTATCCCAATTTGTTTTTCTAATTATACTTGTTCAGACTCATATATAGTCTTCAGACTTAAGTGTACAGAAAAAGCTTTTTAAACACTTAGCATTTAACTAAGCTGATTCTTTTTCATCTACTGTCCAATCAGTAAGCAGTGTTTTAGTTATAATTCCATCTACAAGTCTAATTGGTCTAGTGTAGCCTTCTTGTACTAAAATACACATGCGATAAAAAATCGATTGAAGAAAAATAGACATACGTGCTTTCCAAAAATCGAAAGAGATGCTATCAAATAGTGGGGGTCTAGTGATCAAATATCCTTCAGATATGTTATAGATTCCAAATATAGCCATGATCATTTTCAAAAAGTTGTCTAAATCTTAATTTTTGAAAGTAGGCTTTGATACCACTTGAAAGTTTGAATAGGTTATTAGACTTATTACAATTGTCCCAAGGCTAACCAAGATGTGGGTGAATTGGTAATTTAGAAAAATTAGTTTTAGATCTTATCCAAAATGATAAACTTTCTCAAAATAAATTTTTGAACCACAAAAAAATTGTGCAGAAAAAGATAAAAATGTAGTAAAAATAAATATAAAAAAACACATAATTTTATAGTGGTTTGGTTCAACTAGACATACGTCCACTCCCTAAAGACTCCCTCTTTAGGTATTACACTATATAAAAGTGACTATCCTTTTTCTCCCATAGTAGACGGAGAAGCCCTTACAATAACCCCTCTTTCACCGACCCCGATATGGCAGAGCACTGTCATTCTTTCTCACTCTCTTGGTGACGGTAGAGTACCGACATCATTTCTCACCCTACTAGTGACAGCAAAGTACCGACATCCTTTTTTACCCTCTTGGTGCGATAGAGTACCAACGTCTTTTTTTTACCCTCCTAGTGACGGTAGAGTACCAACATCCTTTTTTACACTCCTGCTGACAGCAGAGTACCGGACCCCCTTTGAAAATCTTCTTTCAATAGTCTTCAAGAAAGTAGGGAAGAACTTTGAAGAACAAGCAAGTGATCCTCGTCATTGAGCAACCTTGTGAATTCCCTCATAAAACCCTTTTAAATGATCTCTCACTCTCCAATCCCAAGACACTCTCCCAAAACACTTTCCAAGTGCACTCTCAGAATAAATTCACAATAGAAGTTAGAGTCAATCAGTTTTTAAGACTCTTAAATATGTAGGACAAGAAAAACATTCAGAAAGATAAAAATTTCAAGTTAAATGTTTTTGGATTATACATTAAGATCGTACTTCATGCATACGAAGAGTTCAAAAATCCATGTATGATCCTGTACAAATCCGTTTTCATACTCTGCCAGTCGTATGCACGAGCATATATTGTATTGTACAAAATATTAAAAAAACGAACAAGTTTGTCTAGTACGATTGTGTACGAACCCATTTTGTGCTCTGATTGTTGTTTGTACGAACCCTACATCGTATAGTATGAACTAGTTAAATCAAATCATGCTTTGTATGGTACAAACATGGATGAACCCATTTCGTACTTTGGACATCGTCTATACGAAATTAATTTTGTACAGTACGAATAGTTTAAAAAATTATTTGTTTGTATGGGACGAACTGGTATGCACCCACTTTGCACTCTGGATGTCATTTGTATGAAACTCATTTTGTATAGTACGATCAGTTCATAAAATGGTGAGTTCATTTGGGATGAACTGGTACGTATCGATTTCGTACTGTAGACATCGTCTATACGAATCCAACTTCGTACAGTACGAACAGTACAAAGAAAATTTCCAAGGCATGTTTTGATTAACTCTGTTATGGAGGAACACTCAAGTCAAATCATCCAGTACAATTCCAGAATTGTACAGTACGATTAGTTTTAAAAATATATGTTTTGACTCACTCCCCTAGTGTGTATATGCACGGTTACCCAATTACAATCACACTTTCTCAGACTTAAGAAAAAATATAAAAAGTATAGACTTTAATTATAATAAACCTTAATCTAATTTGTCTTAAAGTCTTCAACTGTCTAATGTATGATTTTCCTAAAACATTGGTACGCACAAACAACACAAATAAAATATATCTAATATATATAAGGAAAAACAGTAATCAACATAATAATCTTTTGGTATCATAAAAAACTCAAATGATATAAAAACATAATTTTGAAAAACTAAGATGCAACAAGACTCGTTAATATTGGATGGTCAGATATGAATGGATCATTAAATAGATTTTAAATCAAATTGATAATTTTTCTTTAGGAAGATAATGCAATTGAATTTGTTGAGGATATATGTGAAATCACATGATTTCAAAAAATGTATATGAATAATCAAGTTAGTTTTCAGCTATCTGCAGAGTTATAATTAAGATTTATTCATCACATTTGGCCAATGTTAAGGCGGGATCAACTATACAATATTCTGATAGTCATTCATAGATTATTATTACGTAAACTCAACAATCCAACCCCAGCTGAGGCATTTGCCAATTATCCTCAACGGATAAAGGGTTCCTGTGCTTATTTTGATCATGAGGTCCTTACTAGTACGCAAGAGAGCTTCATTCTATTCAAAAGAAAATATGCTCTTTTTTGCTTGAAAGAATTCAGAGACGAAATGAACTTGGCTAATGAACATTATTGAAATGAATTTTTACTCACTTATTTGATAGAAAATGTTGTTTACATAGATAATGAGAAAATAAATTCTCGATAATCATTAAAATAAAAAATGAGTTTCAATATTCATTTAATAAAATTTTATTAATTTACTATAGTTAAATAGAAAATTATCAATGAATTACATCCGCATTTTCTAAATAAATATAAAATATGTGTTAATTATAATGAAAACCAGACGTCAAGATTTAAATTTGTGACGTAAAATCCATTTGCATTCAATCCAATTCATTTGAATGAAAAGTAACCTTATAACAAACAATATTAGAGTCAAGTTAGATTTCACATGATGGCGCGGAGCAGCGACAACCAATATATTTAATAGGTACAAAACGGTCTTTGATGACAACAGATGACAACAAAATAAATAGTTTAAGGATGCGAGTAAGCTACATAAATTCACCCTCTTCTGCCGTTTAAAGAATTCATTATTTCTTCAGGTCAAAGGTGGAAACCAATTTCGTGCAGAGCTGAATATATCTTACTACAATCAATTGGTATATTATATCAACTAAAGTTCCTTGAATACCAGCGCTTCCAACTTTGCCCTGCGTGTCATTCACCAACAAAAATAAGGACCCCCCATGCTTTAAAGTAGTAGCAGTCATACGAATCCCCATTTCATTCTGAAATTTTCATTTCGACGCCAAGGATATCCTTTACGACCTCGTATGTCACGAAGGCTATAGCAATTGATGGCACCACCTGTTATTCAGTAAAAAAGGGCACCAAATTTCAATTAAATAACAATATTAATCTGATTCAATGTTGACAGCTCCATCTAATAAATGCAATGTAAATAGCCATTATCTTAATTTAGATAATATAATATTATTTGGAATAATCAGTGGATATTGTCATCTCTTTTTTTGTTGTCCATTTGATATTATGTAGTACGACACGTAAGTGGAAAACAATAACTAATTTGTTAGTCTATAACGCATCTATTTCAAAAAAAATTCAATGATTATAAAAAATCACTTCAAATATATTTAGGTCAAAACATTTTCTCCATGTAGGCGCAGATAAATTTGCTAAGTACATAAATCTCATCAAAATAAGATTTAAATGCCATTTATAGAATGCTTATATAAGAATATCACAAAACTACATATACCGGTAAATATATTGGTACATTACATACTAGATTAGAACGTAAGCTCAAAGATTGGAGTTGAACCATTTATAAAAGAAAAAACTTTGGCCTGTCAAACGGGGTTTAGAACACTAACCTTCACGGAGTTTGGAACAAGTCCCTTATACAAAGCTCCAAAGCCCTCATGGCGAACTGTTTTCCTGAAAGCATCGATCATTCCAGAGTATTCCAGTGGTCCTTTAATTCTGCCATCACCTCGCACAACAGAAGCAGCATCCTTCCAACCCACCATTTGCATTCTTCTCCGAATAACATCAAGAGGGTAAGCTACAGTTTGTCCAACTGTTCCAGCAGCTGCTCCACATGCAAGTTTTGTAGCCACGCTAAGCTCTTGGTCATCAGAAAGGCCAAATGGCTTAGATACAACTAACCATTCCTTCAGAGATTCGTATACAGCGAAGTTGAGGCCGACATAGGGAACCTGCAATAGTAAACAAGTTAAAAACTCCAAACATGAGAAAAAAAATATTACGAAAGTTTAGATTATTTCGAATGGAAAAATGGTGCAGAGAATTCATTATCATGCTACAACAAAACAACCCTCCAACGCTCCAAAAAGAATTCAAATGAAATTTTATTCAGTGAAAATTTTCGGCAGAAAGTGATCTAGTGAGGGTTATTGTTTTCCCTGTTATGTTTTTTATTGAATAAGTTGGAGACTTGGCTCCGCAACTTTCATTGAATAAATAAATAAAGAGAAACCAGAAACTAGCTAAAGCGTAATTCATAATAGGGCACTTCAAAGTACAGGAAAATCCATGAGAAATTTTACATAACGGAGAGAACTTACAACTCCAATGACAGATGGAAGCCAGCCTTTGTACAGTGCTCGAAAACCCTCTTCCCTATAGACAGTGCCTAATGCATGAAACATCCCTCGATACTGATAAGGAGATTTCTCAGTCTGCACCACAGAAGGTAATACAAACTAAAAATAATCTAGAATACCTACAAATTAATTCCCTTAACAAAATTATAAACACAATAAAGAGAAACTCAATAGAATCTAAACCACCCAAAACAAATTGATAACAAAATGTTGGAACAATACCTGGACTGTGATCCTGCCTCTGACCATGTCCATAGGATAAGTGGCTGACATTGCAATTATCCCAGCACATGCTCCAGCACCAAGGCGCAATGCAGGAGTAAGCTGTGCATCCTCTAAAGAAATAAAGCAACAATTCAGATTCATCACATTTTACAAGTTCAGTACTCATCAAATTATTGTATAAATGAATGCCAACAAAACTAACATCATGAAATTTTCTACTTTAGGCAACTAGGGTGAATTATAGCAGCATGTCAGTATGTAGCATATTAAATAATACCAACAAGACTGTCCGCCGAGCAAGAAAATGTCCTCATATAAACGTGGATAAATGTGCTATCATCAAGAACAATCTCCTTTCAAACATAAAGCTGGCACACTCAAACAGATGAAATTACGAAATCTTCACTTTCACTCAAGATAATTACGAACAGCGATTAACTAAGTTGATAAAGCTTTTGAAACTTCTATAAATGCAACACCTTGCACATTGAGGCTTTCTAATCCCTTCTAGCAAGAATTTAAAAATATTTTTAAACCGTAAAACCAAGGTAAATCCCTACATGGAATGATAGCAATGGACTAATGTTCTGCCCACAATCGTTATGGGCATCCCCACAAAAATACGAATTTATATGCAGTAAATGAGAAGTTTGAAGGTATTCACAAGTAATAATAAATCTATCAAAAACGTACTAGTGAACAAGGTGGTTATAAACCATATTTGCTTCTCAAAAACACTAATAATTTGCGCATTAAGTCATTCCAATTCATTGCTTTTAAAAACATGCCATCCAAGATTAAAAAATGAACCAATTAATAATAAAAAATAGTTAGATTTAGTATCCAACGTTGTTTTAATTAAATAACAACCAAATCAAGCCTTTATCCTGCTACGTGGGGTTGACAATTGTTTAGCCAAGGTTTTGAAAACTAAACCAGACATTGAACTGGACAGCAAGATATTCAAGGTCAAAGGTTGAACTGCAAAGCCCTACATGAGGTCCTGGTTGGGTACCCATTGGGTACCCATGTTTTACTTGGACGGGCTTCGCCCACCCACACCCACCCATGATAACTTTCAGGATTTCGTACCCACCTATACCCACCAACTTTTCATGTTTTTTGAACGCAGTCTGCCACGGACTGATGGCCTTGAGGCTTGTTGTCATTTCCTATGATGACAAACTTTCAAGTCACATATCAAAATTTATCGTATTCATATCATGGTTAAGTGCTGCACAATACGTAGTGGTGATTGCAGTAGTATAAGTAAGATATACAGTGATTAGCAATATAAATCGATTTATCCCTCGATGTTTAATACCCACCTATACCCACCCATAAGGTCATGGGCGTACCCATACCCACCTATACCCATTGGGTATGGGTGGGTACATGGGTGGGTATGGGTACCCAATGCAGGGCTCTTGAACTGGAACAATTATTACGTCCTCTGACCGGACTTAGAGCTACGTTCGGCCGCCAATAACATGTCGCCACGTGCTCTTACTCTAAACCGCGCGGCCCGACGACTTGACCCGGAGCTGAACCCAGGAATGCTATGTTCGCGATTTTTTCGGTATTGCTCGGTATTTGCTAGGTATTGCTTTGCAAAAATGAGAAATACCTCTCTGTGAAGACCAATACCATGCAAATACCGAGTTGTACCGAGTTTTTTACAACTCGGTACAACTCAGTACAACTCGGTACAACTCAGTATTTGCTCGGTATTGCTAGGGATTTGCTCGGTATTGCTAGGTATTTGCTCGGTATTGCTAGAAAAAAACTCGGTACAACTCGGTATTTGCTCGGTATTGCTAGGTATTTGCTCGGTATTGCTAGAAAAAACTATGTACAACTTGGTATTTGCTCGGTATTGCTAGGTATTTGAAATATATCCAAAAGGTGATTGGATTTTGTTCGGCTCGTCAAGGATTTAAAAAAACGCACGTGCGAGAACCCAAAAAACAGCGGGTCGGGTCGGCGACTTTTCTTCATGCTACGTGGCGCTAAAATATTAGTGGCCGAACGTAGAGGAGCGTACGTTCACCGGACCGAATAAAAGTTCCTTGAACTGGGAGTTGAACTAGATGATATAAAAAGCATTTAATTATTTTACTTTGACATAATATTTTGATTATGTAATAATAAATTTTTTACTAATCTAATATATAATATTCTAAACCATGATACTTCACATTTTAATATTTTGAATATGTTTCTAAATAAAAATTTTGAGACAATATTTTGATTATTCATAAGATATTCAACTTCCAATAACAGCAATATTCAACTTAAAGTTCAAAAATAAAAATGGGATATGGGTCAAACTTGTTAGAATATCTAAACTTTTCAAGCGTCAATTCCGACCGGTTCCAATCAATCAAGTATACAAACAATTTTTCAGATTAGAGCAAACTAATCAGAGCATCGACTCATAGTTGAACAAGTCAAACCGATGTTACGCAGTAGCCAAAACCGGCCCAGGAGGGGCCGGTTCGGACCTATAGGAGGCGGACTAAGCCGCCTCCTCTTGAAACCAACGTTTAAGTGGGTGGGTCCCACCTCCTTGGCCGGCAAATTGAGAGAGAGGAGCAGTTCATGCAAGAGAGGGATTTGAAATAATTTATATTAGGAAGCTTTGAATTAGGAATGAGGCATTTAAAGATGATGAGACGCTAGGGTTAGGGCATGCTGGTATTGTTTGTTCTTTTGGAGATTTCCTTGGCGTCTTGGGCTCTAGATCTACAATATAGAGACCGGGACAGACGATCCTCCACTCGAATTGAGGATCAATTGTATCGTGCTTTGAGTTTCGCTTTGATTTGTTTCCACTATCACAATCTATCGTTTCTAGTTTGATTTATCCAAGTTTCTAGTTTCTTCTCGTTGTTTTGAGCCAATTATTACTAGGGTTGCTTGCGAACTCAAGTATTTCCTATCAAATTACTATCGAAGCAATTCTTGGGACCAATGGAGGGCTATTTTCGGCAAATTCCAGCAGCGGTTTTTTTTCCCGAAAAAGGAGGAAGTTGCCGTTTTTTTTACTCCAAAATTCAAATTTTCTAAATCTACAAACTCCGGATTGTGATGACGACCAAAAAGATGGATGCTTTGGAGGAAATGCTTGAAGGGTAGATGAATCAAATCAAAACAACGGTGGAGGAAATGATTTCTTCCATGGGGGGACAAGTCGCCGATCTCCAAGACATGATGAAGAATATATTGGAATTTTAAAACCAAACGGCGGCTTCCATAGCAAAAGGGATGGAAGGAAAAAAGCAAGAATTCTTAAATTCGTGGGGAGGAAGATGAGGTAGAAATCATGGAAGAAGAAAGAGGAAGACCTCATCTGGAGCCTGTCCAGAGGGAAGAAAGATGAGGGGGATATGGGGAGCGCCATGAGGGATACTGTGGCCGACGAGGTGCTGATTTTGAAGAAAAAAGGGGGGATTTTGAAGGGGGTTTGGGCTATGGCAGAGCAAGGGAAGACCGGAAAACATGAGGAGGGCCTAGCACTTGGGAGAGGGGAAACTATGGAAGAATCAGAGGGAATTGTGGCAACAAGAAGGTGATGAAGTTGAAGATGCCCATATTTGAAGGAGATGATGCGTATGGGTGGATTTATAAGGTGGAGGATTTATAAGGTGGAGCGATACTTTGGCATCAATGGGCTGACGGATGAGGAGAAGTTGACAGCAGCAGGCTTGTGCTTGGAAGGGAAAGCCCTACCGTGATATCAGTGGAGAGACCAGAGGAGGCCTATTAGGAACTAGAGGGAATTCAAAGACTGCATAATAGAACATTTCCAAACCAACCAGGGAGGAGATTTCTATGAGCAGTTCTTTGCTCTGACACAAGAAGGATCAGTAACAGACTACCGGGAGTGATTTGAGTACCTAGCTAGTAGGGTGGAGCGACAATCAGATACAGTATTAGAGGGAAATTTCATGAAGGGGTTGAAGACAAAGATCCGAGCACCAATGAAGATTCTGAAGCCCCGTGACTTGTGGGAGGCCATGAAGTTGGCCCAGCTGGTGGAAAGTCAGAGGAATTTGAAGAGGGGAGCTAGGAGTAGCAGCACTGGGGGGACTTAAAGGATGACGACCACCCATCTAGCACCTAAAGGTCCTGCAACAGGAGGTAGTCGATAAGCCACCAAGGAGAAGATAGGAGGAGGAAGTGGAGAAAATTTCAAGCGGCTGACAAAGAATGTGATGCAGGAGAAGAGAGCTAAGGGGTTGTGCTTCAAGATCGATGAAAAATACACTCCAGGGCATCGATGCAAGGACCAAACTCTTCAGGTTCTCACCGTCTGCGATGACGAGGAAACTGAGGGATGTGAAGAAGAGATGGAGGAGAAGCTACATTTGGATCTGGTCGAGGTTTCCCTGAACTCAGTGGTAGGATTCACTATGAATCATATCATGAAAGTGAAGGGGGAGATAGAGAACAGGGAGGTGGTGGTGCTGATTGATAGTGGGGCTACTCACAATTTCATTTTCACCCAGGTCGTCGACCAATTGGGAGTGAGATTGGTGGATACCAGTTGTTACAGGGTGATGATGGGTATGGGGAAGTGGAGAAAGGCCAGAGGATTTGCAGAGGAGTGCGACTAACGATCCAGCGGATTTAGGTGAGGAAAGATTTTCTTTCACTAGAGCTTGCGAGTACAGATGTCATCCTGGGGATGAAATGACTGCAAACTTTAGGAGATACCAAAGTGAATTAGGGAGCGCTCACAATGGAGCTGATGATAGATGGAAGTAAGGTGATGATTAAGGGAGATGTGGGGATACCCAAATCCATGGTTTCTCTTAAAACAATGATGAGGGATATATAGTTGGTTAGCGGAGGGTATTTTGTGGAGTTGTATCATCTGGAGGGAGATAGATTAGAGGAGGAAGGGGGCATACCCCTATCCATTCAGCCGTTGATTCAACAATTCCAAGAGGTGTTTCAGCTATCTCATGGATTGCCACCATAGAGGAAGACAAAGCATGCCATCATGTTGAGGGAGGGAGTGTCCAGAAAGATGAAATCGAAAAGTTGATTAGAGAGATGTTGGAGGCAGAAATTATAAGGCTCAGCATCAATCCCTTCTCTAGTC